AACTATTGAAACAGTGGTTGGTGTTTTTGGTATGTATCTATTTTTATTATTTATATACATTTTAGTTTCATTTTACATCAATTAAAAGAGAGAGTTAATACCTTTTTAAACTAATAAATTATATTATCTAAAATTCTCTTCCTAAAGGATGCACTGTTTTGTTTATTAGAGGACACAAATCTTAAAGAAACAAAAGTTAATGAGGCACTGAAAAGACATGACTAATTTTTAAAAATCATGTTTATTTAATTTTTCTCAAAAGACACAACTATTCATGAGCATGTATATATACAACTTATACAACCCATAATACCTTCAATATCAACAATATTTCTAAAGAGACACCTCTCATAGAAACTCTACTCTCCCTCCGGAACTTATATGTTTTTCATTTAAAGTGGAACTCCAACTCTGTAACATGTGAGTTTAAAGAGACATCAAGTTACTCTTAAATATTTATGTTTCAATTTATTTTTCATTTCATATTTTTTTTTTCATATGGGTACCAATGGTCTAAAAATTGTTCAAGAATCACATAGATTTTAATTCTCTCTTTCTTTTTTTCATTTTCTTCTTTTCTGAATCTTTTTTCTTTTTCTTTCTTTTATTATTTTCTTTGATTTTCTATAATTTTGATAGATATATCCCTTATAAAAAGTGTGCTCAATTTATAATATTTCTATACTTTTTAAAACAATTATTTTAATTAAAATTTATTTTTCCAAAAAGTTATTAACATGACTTTTCTGAAAAGTTATCATATTTAATGTAATTTTTTATATATAAACTTTTCCTATTTCCAAAAAGTTGCATCTTTGAACCTTTTTTTTTTTTTTTAAGAGTAAACTAGCATTCTTAATAGTATACAACTCTTATATATATATATATATATATACACACACCAGGGCCGACCCTGAGATTCCAAATATTTTGAGAGGCCCTAGGCAAACTTTCAAATGTAAGGCCCTTAAGTTTCACACGCACAAAAAAAATTATAAGAGTGCGGAATTTTCACATGATGTTTTCAAATTCTATAGCTAATTTAATTATGCACATGTGTATTGTGCATAAAACAATTAACTAATAACTATAATCTTCATTCAGTAAATTTTCATGTTCATTGACTAACTTCCTGTGATATTCATTCATTAAATCTTCATTTTTATTGAGATTTTCTTCATTTGCTTTCGCATTCATATGTTCTTCATTCACCAAATCTTCAACTAAACCCTCTATTTGTGTATTGCTCCTAAAAAACTTAAGATTATCTCCTTTTTGAGATTAAATCAATTCTTCTTCTCTCTTCTTTGTTTTTTCCCTTTTTTCATGCCCAGATTCAAATTTTCTTGTAAACTTAATGAAATCTCTTGAGATCTAAATAACGGGAACCATAATAAACATAAAACTAGACTTCAAAATAATAATAATAATAATTTGCTTTGTTTAAAGAAAATATATATTACTTCAATATGCAATGATTTGATTCAAGTTTAAGGCAAATAACCTCACGAGATCCTAAGAAGAGTGTCCTGCTAGCATGTGAAAGAAGATCACAATTAACATAAAACGGATGGAGAATCAAACAGAAACAATAATAACTAAGCATTGCCGATCATACAATAAATATAATAAAAAAAAATCTAAAATCAAGCAGTTTGGTCGAATGATCTCCTGGCTGGAGTTTTCAATGGAATCTGGAGGAGAGGAGAGAAGACAAAACAGAGTATCCAAAATACAGTCCAAAAGTGGAAATGAGGAACAAAAAACTGCAGCTTCTTTTTTACATTCATTGTTTATATAGCTGCTAAAATTTGATGATTACAGATGACAAAAATATGTGGAGATGAGGTGACTATATATATATAGGAGGCTGAACTTGTAGTGTTGAAGAAGTAGTGGGACTTTTAGGTTATATGTGGCATCCACTATCATGTATAATTTTGTCTTTCACTCTTTATATTAACTACAATTTGTGTGTGTGTTTTTTGGGAGCCAATTACCCCTTTCTTGATTTCAGGATGAGGAATCAACTTTAGTAGCAGTGATTGATCGATCATTGCTACAGAAGACCTGTGCAAATTAATAGAAAAAACCATTAACTTTTGTTTTGTTAAAGCCTGCTCTTGATTTCCATGTGTTTGTACATTCTGATGGCAAGTGCTTTGACAGTATTATTAACTGAAATTCTAGCTGAGCCAACTTCAAATAGCATCAATAATGGTGGTATGTATCTTCATATAAAAATAAAATATAAAAAAACCCTTAATTTGGCACTTTTAAGTATGAGCATAATTTAGAGATCAAAAAAGTTAATTATTACCACAACCGGTCAACCCAGAAGGGATCCTTAATTTTCGTAGGATTGAATTTGAAAATGCAAAAACTTATGAGGAAAAGGGGTATGATTGCTGCTGTTGTGAGTTTGGAGTGGAATTAGGGAGAGGGAAAATAAAAAAAAAGTGCCTGCCATAGATTATGGACTCGATCGCCATGAAAGACACATGTAGAAAGGCACACATTTATTAAAAGACTAAGAGAACCATAATATATTCATTCATCTTTTGATAGCCATCACACACAGTGACACACACACCAAAAACCCCTAGTTTGGAAGCTACTTTTCACTATTGGAACAAAGGTAAAGGCCCGAATCAAACGAACGAAAGTTAGAACAAATCAAAAGATGAGATGAACGAAAGAAAAAACTTGCTCTAACTTAATACTCCGTTTTTTATTTTTTTCCATCCCCTATGGGCCTCAAAATTTGAGGCCCAAGGCAACCAAGACTTGTCCTAACTTTAATTTTTTTTTTCCATCCTCTATGGGCATCAAAATTTTGAGGCCCTCTAAAATTTGAGGCCCAAGGTGACCGCCTTGGTCGCCTTGGGCCAGGGTCGGCCCTACTCATTTGATCTCTCAATGAGCATGTATAGGACTTCTGTAGAATGAGGAATGCATCACTAAGTTGGTTAGTGTGTGTATGTCTTTACACGCTTGGTAGTAAGTGGTTCTTCAGTTAGTAAATATTTTAAACGGACATGGATGAATTTTGTATGAAGCCTATAATTATGGTACTATTTGGAGTCCTCTAGAACTAGATTTTAGAATATTGAATTATTAATTTTGGAGGCATTTGTTTAGCAATCAGGTGCAGGCATTGAGTACCAAGTGATTTGATGATTACATAGATGATATAATGGATTTTTAGAGATATTTATATACATGGCAGATGGTGTATATGTGTATAGGTGGAATAGTAATATTATGTGCATTTGATTACATGACTCGATTATGGGAATCCGTGGATTTATGCATTTTTCTTTACACACATGTTGTATATCAGTAGTTGAATTTAAGGGTGACTACAGTGAAGTGTAAAGATCCCTAGACCGGTAGAACAGGTCCCATAGATTGTCTGTGTAATCAACAAGACCACCTGGGCCTCGCCTTGCCCCAACACATATTATACCAGTCCACATCCTCAGATTCATTCCCATAAGAATTCCAAACTTTTTAAAGAGAAACCACCACCCAGTTTGTCCTCAAATTCCAATTCCAGCCCCATTAAGCATCAAACAGTCCAAAGTTGCATCTCTGGAAATTCCTGAAGTCCTTGCCACCCTATGTTCAAATCTTTGAGCTTTTATTTTTTATTTTTTATTTTTAATCTTCATACAATGGATCCTGAAGAGCATAAAAGACTTGACCACATTCCACTCTAAAACTAATATGCTGCAGGCACGATATCCCTCAAAGCAACCATAGATTTTCGAACAACAGAATGAAACATACTAGGAGCAACCTACCAGTAGTTAGCATGTGACACTTTGTCATTATTAAATTTCATTGTAGAATAGTTTACCCTGACATTTGTATACTCTGAGAATGATAATTTTGTGTAATGCAGATGTCTATGATTCAGAAGACACAGATGCTGCTTTCTATGAAACTATGCATGAAAATGCTCTATTTTGATTTTATTTTATTTTTTCAAAAATTAATTTTAAACATTTTAATTATCTTGATGATATTATGGGTTGATGAAAGATATGATGTGGAACAGCAAAGAAAGGTTTTGGAAAGGATATATAAACCACCACCAGAAGGTCAAGAGCAATAATATTTGGATTCAGACGAGGAAGATGAATTTTTTTAAACCTGCACGAGTTTGCACTTGTAAGCCACTGTTCAAGAGAATCAGAGATATAAAAAAGTAAGGTTTTGAAAATGCAACAAAGTTGTCGATTAATTTTGTACTGCCTTTGTTTCCGGCCAAATGTTTGATGAGGCTCATGAAAGTGTTTCCTGCTTGGCACTACTACTTAGGCTCTCCTATTTTCCAACACACGCAGTCATATATGTGCAAGGAAGTGTGTGGCTACTTCTCACAGGTTGGAAAGAATCCACCTACATTTTCCGCCCTCCTTAATCATCACGACTACGGGATCCCTTCCCCGAACCTTAATTTCTTGGCAGAACCCTTTGAGGTCCGTAGCAGTTGCAGTGGCTTACTTTTGTGCCAGAGAGAAAATGGATTTATAATATGTAATCCGGTGACAACAAAACAAAAGTCAATCCCCTTTCCAGAATCAATTGATGCTATTGCTTGTGAAGCTGCTGTCCTGACTTTTGAGCCTTCTGAACATGACTATGGGGCTAACTTCCACATCGTAATTCCTTCTTTAGTGCGTCGGGGAAGTTGGAATTTCACATTTTCTCTTCTGCCTCACAGTCTTGGGGATGGCTTTGTGACGTTTTGACCTTGGGATACAACTGGCGATTGCTCCAGGGTACTGTCATGAGGGAAGAGCTGTTTGGGCAACCATATGTGGACACAGCCTGACACTTAAGGTCCTCACTGGTTTGGTAGAGTTTATCCCAGTACCAAATGCCCGACAACCGTTACTCCATTAATGCTAACCCCTTGGCAAAACATTTCCCATACGTAAACACACTTGCACATGTTGCAGATTAGAGGGTCTTACACAAATAAAAAAAAGTACATTACTATTGGAATATGGAAATATAATAAGTGATGGCTAGTATTTGCTAAAAGGAAGGCAGTTTACTTTGTACCTTTGGATTTCTGTCTTTGTCAAATAGCATTGCTCTTAAACTCTGCAGGTTGGTTTCCCATTACAGTGATTCGCATAAAGTTAGTCAAGAAAATGTACATAAAGCAATCTATATATATATGTGCGTGTGTGTGCGCGCGCGCAATTATATAGAGACCTCAAAGAAATCAGCATTCACTTATGTTATATGGACTCGGGTACGGGTGTCGAATACGAATATATATCCATACGTCGGATGTGTCAAATCTCCAAATAGAAGGACACACGGATACGGCTAAATATTCATTTTATTCATTATTTTATTTTATTTTCTAGATTAAAGTAATTTTTTTTATCTAATATAATGTTCAATATAGTCCTTCAACTCATTTTAAAGTAATAATATAATGTAATTGAATGATTGGATATGTTTTTTAAGTACATGTATAACAAAAAGCGTCAGACACATATCCCATACCCATGTCCAAGGGATATGTGTCCAACACGGGTACTTCACTACTTTTGAAGAGTCCATGTAACAAAGCATGTGACAACCAACAGTATAGTATAGTCACTTATCAGACAAGATTCAAGTTTTAGCGTCCGTCCTTGTCTAATCTGATGATGAATCAAGAAAATTTGTTAAAGAATTTTACCATTTTGTGATATAAAAATAATATATTTATTTGTAAAAATTAAAAAGCATTTAGAATGATTCTTACAGATCGTAGACAAACTTTAAGACTTGTTGGTGAAGCCGACTTCATGTAACGTATTGCATTAACCACCCACTTTTCTGCTCCTTCATAGGCTTCAATTTCCCATACGTAAACACGTTGCAGATTAGAGGGTCTTACACAAATAAAAAAGTACATTACTATTGTAATATGCAATTCGTGTAAGACCCTCTAATCTGCAACATGTGCAAGTGTGTTTACGTACGGGAAATGTGTTACCAAGGGGTTAGCATCAATGGAGTAACGGTTGCCGGGCATTTGGTACTGGGACAAACTCTACCAAACCAGTGAGGACCTTAAGTGTCAGGCTGTGTCCACATATGGTTGCCCAAACAGCTCTTCCCTTACGATAGTACCCTGGAGCAATCGCCAGTTATCCCAAAGTCAAAACGTCACAAAGCCATCCCCAAGACCGTGCGGCAGAAGAGAAAATGTGAAATTCCGACTTCCGCGGTACACTAAAAGAAGGAATTACGATGTGGAAGTTAGCCCATAGTCATGTTCAGAAGGCTCAAAAGTCAGGACAGCAACTTCACAAGCAATAGCATCAATTGATTCTGGAAAGGGGATCGACTTTTTGTTGTCACCGGATTACATATTATAAATCCATTTTCTCTCTGGCACAAAAGCAAGCCACTGCAACTGCTACGGACCTCAAAGGGTTCTGCCAAGAAATTGAGGTTCGGGGAAGGGATCCTGTAGTCGTGATGATCAAGGAGGGCGGAAAATGTAGGTGGATTCTTTCCAACCTGTGAGAAGTAGCCACACACTTCCTTGCACATATATGACTGCGTGTGTTGGAAAATAGGAGAGCCTAAGTAGTAGTGCCAAGCAGGAGACACTTTCATGAGCCACATCAAACATTTGGCTGGAAACAAACGCAGTACAAAATTAATCAACAAATTTGTTGCATTTTCAAATTCATTTGCAGTTTCAATTTCCCCGTCAGCCTGTTCAAGAGAATCAGAGATATAAAAATGTAACATATGTCATTCAAAACAAAACAAAAAAAAGGTAACAGTGGCTTACAAGTGCAAACTCGTGCAGGTTGTAAAAAAATTCATCTTCCTTGTCTGAATCCAAATATTGTTCTTCTTGACCTTCTGGTGGTGGTTTATAAATCCTTTCCAAAACCTTACCTTGCAGTTCCACACCATATCTTTCATCAAGTCTCCCTCCCTACCCATAATATCATCAAGATAATTAAAATGTTTAAAATTAATTTTTGAAAAAATAAAATAAAATCTCCCCTACCAGTGCATTTTCATGCATAGTTTCATAGAAAGCAGCATCTGAGTATTCTGAATCATAGACATCTACATTACACAAAATTATCATTCTCAGAGTATACAAATGTCAGAGTAAACTATTCTACAATGAAATTTAATAATGACAAAGTGTCACATGCTAACTACTGGAAGGTTGCTCCTAGTATGTTTCATTCTGTTGTTTGAAAATCTATGGTTGCTTTGAGGGATATCGTGCCTGCAGCATATCAGTTTTAGAGTGGAATGTGGTCAACTCTTTTATGCTCTTCAGGATCCATTGTATGAAGATTAAAAACAAATAAAAAATAAAAAAAAAAAGAGCTCAAAGATTTGGACATAGGGTGGCAAGGACTTTAGGAATTTCCAGAGATGCAACTTTGGACTGTTTGATGCTTAATGGGGCTGGAATTGGAATTTGAGGACAAACTGGGTGGTGGTTTCTCTTTAAAAAGTTTGGAATTCTTATAGGAATCAATCTGAGGATGTGGCCTGGTATAATATGTGTTGGGTCAAGGCTAGACCCAGGTGGTCTTGTTGATTACACAGACAATCTATGGGACCTGTTCTACTGGTCTAGGGATCTTTACACTTCACTGTAGTCACCCTTAAATTCAACTACTGATATACATCATGTTGTGTGTAAAGAAAAATGCATAAATCCACGGATTCCCATAACCGAGTCATGTAATCAAATGCACATAATATTACTATTCCACCTATACACATATACACCATCTGCCATGTATATAAGTATCTCTAAAAATCCATTATAGCATCTATGTAATCATCAAATCACTTATTATACTTTGTTCACTCAATGCCTGCACCTGATTGCTAAACAAATGCCTCCAAAATTAATAATTCAATATTCTAAAATCTAGTTCTAGAGGACTCCAAATAGTACCATAATTATAGGCTTCATACAAAATTCATCCATGTCCATTTAAAATATTTACTAACTGAAAGAACCACTTACTACCAAGCGTGTAAACACATACACACACCAACCAACTTACTAGCATCTGAAGCCATTACCATTACAAGATCCTGATTCAAGAAAAATCAAGAACTTGTATAATTGTTGTACAATAAAGAGTGATTTTTTATTTATTTATTTATTTTTGTATAATACCTCATCACTCGCAGCATGAGAATGATGAGCTGAAATTAGGTTTTTCATCTGAAGCATCTGAAGCCATTACAACTACAAGATCCTGATAAATCAAGAAAAATCAAGATGTATAATAGAGAGAGAAACTAGAGTAGCTGATCACTCGAGGACACAGAGCCAGAAGAATTAGAATAATTAGGTTTTACTGTGTAGATTCTGAAGCCATTCCAAGATCATGATTTAATTTGGGAGGAATTTACACAGCAACAAAGAAAAATAAAGAACAGAGGACAAAGTGTATGAGAGAGTGTGTGATTTGTTGTACAATGGTTGTATAATACCTGATCCTGATCACTTGGATAGAGATTTCTTCAGAGGTGTAGTCAGAAAAACAGAGAGTCTATATGCGCGCGCGCACATATATAGAGGAAGGAGAGAGGGAACGCAGAGTTTGAATATTGGTTAGCTGTGCTTATTTTCCGGATCACACGAGCCCTTTTTCAAGTGAAGAGCTATGGGCAGTTCCACCACTGCACTCAAAGTGATATGAGCCAGCCCAGCCCCTGTCGGTGTAAAACCCTATCTATACATATACGGTGCTATATCTATATATCTCCACCTCTACCGCAACTATCGACGTTGCAATTCGTCGCGGCACGCCGCCGCTGTCGTAGATCTACGCAATAAAACCCACCAGCAGCCAAATTGCGTCACCACCACCGTTCCGCTCCCCAACCACCAACATTGCAACAACAATACCATATTTCGGCGAATTAACCGCCGCCACAACTTGTGCCGTTACCACCGCCAGCAACAGCGCTATATTCCGGCGAATCAACCACCGCCGCCATCCTCACCCCATTATAGCCGCCACATCCCTATGAACATCACCACGAAAAACTACCTCGTTCAACACCGGTGTCTAGTTCTTCCTACTTACAGCGTGGGCCATGCTAGGGCTTTTTTCTTTTCTTTTCTTCCCCTTTTTCGGTAGAATATTTTAGTAATAATATGCACCCCAGCTTGGGCTGCGAACGCATTCAACCCAACAACATCCTTTGCATGAAAGGCTAGGATTCTAGTAGATGTAGATGTCAATTCAATAGTTTTAACGTCTTAAAATCAAAACCGAACACGAAACTTTGGACAGTTTAGCCAAGAGAACCCATGGACCAGAACAGAAGAACTTGCCCCACCCAGACTTATTGAACGGTTTCCTATTTATTTATTTTTTTTGATAAGAACTGCTTCCTATTTATTTAACCAGCGCTAATACCTTCGTCTTCCAAATAAAGACGGGTGGTGACACCACAGCCTTGCCGTCATTAATCTCGCCCGGAATTAAAGGGTATGATGGGAATTGCGAACCGGCCTAGGCCCAAATTAAAGGGGACAAATTAAAGGAGTGATGGGAATTGCGAACCGGCCTAGGCAGGGTCGGGTGCAGCTCAACAGACCCCCGACCAACTGGACTGCTCATCAATCGAGAAGTCCAGGTCAACATTAGGAGAACGTTGATCAAACAATAAAACTAATAATAAAATGCAAGAAATTAAGATTAGATTCATATGAAACATTAAGCAGTTCATCTTGCCACCAATAACAATAAACTAATATGAAACATCAGTTGGCTTGATTTTGTCAGTCTAGGCTCAAGTTACTAATGTCGTGATAATAGAACTAATAATGATATAAATTGGTTCAGAATAGACTCGAAAACCATCAAACTTGATTGTACCCAAACAATATAGACATGAGGACATCAGAGGGGAAGTTGGCTAGATAAAACACAACATATGACCCACCACTAAAAATGAGGAGGTGAATTCATGAGGGTGTCTCAGATCAAATTATTTTAAGTCTCACTCTCACTAAAGATACCAATATGAAGAAAATCGACTAAGCACTGGACCATTTCAAATCAGGCTTCATTCGAAGTGTTGTGGACATCTCACCCAAAATATAAGCATAAATTTTAAGATCACAATGACCACTTTCCATTTACATGAAATCAAGAAGAAGAATGTTACAACATTGAGAAAATCTAGCATCTATTCCCCATGCATTCGAAATTTCGTATGTCCTCTCACCCGCAGTTCTATTCCTTTCCATTTTCCTGGCAGTGTATAATCATTATCCCTCTGTGTTTCTGGTGCTGTTGAATCTCATCCCTTTCATTTCTTTTGAGAGACAAAACAACTCTCTCTCTCAATCTATAATCTTCGCCATTAGACCCAATCACATTCTCTGTGAGAGAAGCGATTCTCTAGGCATTTTCACCCATCGTTGTGTATCTTGCTTGGCTGCTCGATCCAATAGGTCTTGTTCTTGGTGATCTATCAGGTGTTTGGGCTCTCAACTGGGGGATCTCACTCCAAGGATCAAGTGTGTATTTTGTGTTTGGTCTCATTGGAAACATTGAGTAGTCATTCAAATTGTAACTGCTTTGCGCTGTCAACGTGTAAGATGGGTGCGGAGGGGAAAGAAAACAGCTCTTGTACGCTGGTCCATAATTTCGTAATGGGCTGGAACAGGGAGATACAGGCAGAGACGCTATCACTCTTGCATTATTATCCCTGTGTACAAAAGAATAGATAGTAGAGTTATTTTATATGTTATATGACTCTAGAGAATGAGTAGAGATATGAAGTGCATGGATCTTTATCCAGGCAAGACGTGGCTGGGTTGTTTACCTTGGGCTTCTCAAAGCTCTTGAGGTTGTGGCTGCTGGTCTTGTTGCATAATCTCCTTCACAGGAATTGGAACTCATTCTGTTGGAACGTAGCTCTAAGGCAGCCGGCTTCAAAAGTACAAGGAATGAGTAAATTAGCAGGATACAGCAAGACTTTAGCAATCAATAAACAGTTCGAGATACTTACCAAAAAGAAAAGCATAAAAGAAATTAAGACCATTTAAGTTTGAAATACTAGGATTTTAAAAGGTTAATGAAACTAGGGTAAAAAAAATGACTAATGAGGACATGCCAATAATCTGCAATGTGATTACAGTAGCTAAAATTCTCCGCATTTCTTCTCTTTTAAATACCCATCATCAATAACTTTCAAAAAACAAAACACTTTAGCCAAGCATGTGAACAAATGTATGACAAACACGCGCTGACATACACTTTGCCTGCAAATTGCATAAGAAAGATGATATTATAGGCTTCTGATGAAATTTTCAATTGTCACCCGAGAGTATATTTGTGTATTGCAGCAATTTATCTACACGAGAGAACCACTTTGTAAAACAAGCTATTATGTAAAATTATAATCAGACGTGTGTCATGCTCTATAATGATCACCAAACATCTATACTTGCTCTATAATGATTACCAAACATCTATTCCTAAATCTGCGGATATACTTACAATAACATCAAAGTATCAAACCAATAGGACCATAGTAGATTGTATTACGATAGTTGTGCTGTTGGGTTGTTCATTCTCTGTTCATATGAAAATTTAATTGGTCAATAAGGTTGCATAGTGCAATCAACTTAACAGTGTCGAATATCACATACTAGGGGTTGGTTACATGAATCCTGCATCGCTACACTGAACACTATCACATTTAATTTAATTTATTTATGAACAGAGATGAGATCATAGAGCTTCCACTGATATGTTGACTGTAGATTCAAATAGGACAAAATCAAGTAGTATGGGCTCTTCCAATCATAGTTACGGATCCTATTTTGCAGAACTTATTTTTTTCTCATTGAAACAGAACCCCAGAGTGTTTCAGCATACTTTTTCGAGTTGTTGCCATTAAATAGTATCTATTTTATGAAAATTTGAGATGTGTATATGAATACTTATAATGAAATATAGAAATGGTAAAAAGAAATGCTTCCTGCAACAAGTACTGTTCATCACAATGAATAGAACTTCTACAAAATTAGATATGAAATATATTTTAAGTGATTAGAAAAAAAGAAAGAAAAAAAAAAAAGAAACCTATTCGAATAGAAAATAAAGAGATAAAAATAAAGTAAAATAAATTACATATGCAATTTACAAGAACATGGAAATAGAGAGCAACTAGAATCAATAATAAACCAGTTAAAGAGACCCCACAGCAAAAACCTATTAGGGATATATAAAGCAATCAAAGGAGATCAAAAAGGTAATGAAGTTCTTATATTCCTAAGACAATATACATACACAAACATATCAGCAAACTGTTTAGGACACGTAAAGCAAGCAAAGGAACCCGAAAATGCTACTGACGAGAAATGAGGAGCAAGGAGCTCAAGTGATGAATCCGACACTTGTAGTAAGGTTTCCAACAAAAAGGAAACTTAACAGATAGATTAGCACGTGCGAATAGTCTGGATTCAGATACAGTGGGGTTTTCTTTTTATTTCATTTCCGTTTAGGTAAAAGGGGCTTTTGAGTTGCTTATATTTACAAGAAAACACCGGCATTCCTACTCCATAATGCCCGAAAATACAGGCTGAAATAGTCACCATAATGGAATGGAGGAGAGTCTAATCAGTTTGTCCACCAGAATGGAACATTCCACAGGAAAGGGCCAGAACAGAATGGATCTTTACAAATATGCTTCTAAGTTATAACAATCACATCACTAAAGTGGCACAAGAGTTGCTTCAAAATAGAAATCACAGTGATATGGACCCAATACAAGAAAGGTAAAAAATCAAAGTAAGATATTCGGCAGAAATATATAAGCATTTTGAAGGCTTTACCGGTGTCCGACTTCCATCAAATTTATAAGGAAATGCTTCCTTGGTTATGTTGGCATTGGCAAGTTTTGTGGTGGCTTGGTCTCGAACAAAAGGGTGATCTAATAATTTTGATGCCGTAGGACGAGCAGCTGGGTCTCGTTGCAAGCATAGCTTCAAGAAACTTTTCGCTTCATTGGAAAGGTGATCTGGTATCTCAGGAATTTCTTTGCTGTTTCCAATTTTAAATATCGCAGCCACCTGTGCAGTCAACATAACAAAAACATTTTGGTCTTTCAAGCACTTCAATGATGGCCTATAAACAAAGATGAGTCCTATAGTAAATGGTCGAGAAAAGATCCAATGTCTCACCCCTTCAAATTGGCTCCAAGGTGGTTTTGATGTTGCCATTTCAAGAATTGTACACCCCAAGCTCCATATATCAACTGCAAGGCTGTATCCATTTGTATTCATCACAACCTGACGTTTAACAGAAACATGAGTACTGAAAATATGAAGAATTCTAGATATAACAGCTGTAAACTCAAATTAGAAAGTAAAAGCAACTAGCAATATTCTTTGTTAACTCAACATGAGAAAAGGAGAGAAAGATACCTCGGGTGCCATCCAGTAAGGACTTCCTTTGAAAGAAAGCATTGACGAATAAGCTGTTATCTGGTAAAAAGAAATTGAAAATTAGGGTATGAATTGCTAGGTTGAATTCAATAAATAAATAAATAAAATAAAAAAACCAATATAATCTCCCTAAAGGAATCGTGATTAGAAAAATTATTATGATTCATTAAAATTATTCACTTACCTATATATATATATATATATATATCTAGGGCTCTTTTCAAGAGATAGAATGTGATCACTCTATCTATCAACTCCAAATAAAAATTATCTTTCTAAATATTCCTACTTAATAAGAGAATCTTTTGGATGCAACTTTTCAAGGATTTCAAAAGGTCATGTCTTTTGGCCAGTGAGGTGAGTATTTCATTTATTGCCTGGATTTCTTGGTTTCTTATTTCAAGAGAAGAAGAAATCAAAGTAATGATCCTGTGTCAAGTTGTACTCTCATTGATGATGGTAAAGGCAGTCATGCTAAAATGTATTTATAAAGTAAATATTATGATAAACATATTTTTAGGTAGTGTTATCTGATGAACCGCCACTTAATCTGAACTCAAAATGTTTCCGATTATCAATAATTTTTTGGAAGATTGTCAATAATTTCCTCAAAATATTTATATGATAGGAAGAGAGGAATGAAGGTGATAGTGACAAGGTGGATATGACGAGGATATCAAACTGTTGGTACAAAAAAATGACTATACGTGCATATGTTATGGGAAAAGAAAATTATGGAAGTGTTAGTGAGAAGCATTGAACGAGACAGTTAAGAGCAGTAGCCGGTTATTTACAGATATGAGTAGATTCCTCTATGGCCATGCCTTGATTTCCAATTTGGTTAAAAGGACCTGTCTTCGCTAAGATGATGGCATATTGACTTTTTGAATTCAAAGGGAGAGGTCATCAAACAACTTATATATTATTACGTTTTTTTTTTTTTTTGGGTAAATTCATATATTATTATGTTGTTTTTTATGTTTATAATATATATTTGCTTTCTATATCCTATCAATTTATTTATTTTTTTTTTTTAAGCCCTCATTCTTAGAGAATTAGAAAGATCCTTTTCAAGTTTGAATTTGTTCATTTGGAATTCTACTTCATATTTATTTATTTAATATTTTTCCTTTTTTTTTTTTTTTTATTCCCTTCCATCATTCCTTAAGTCACATAGATTTGATCATGTAGAATTATGACCAAATTTCTCATTCAGCAAAGGATAGATGATGGAATCATCAAAGATTTTGACCTTTTTCAAATTCTATCTGTAACTCACTAGAAGCCCGGGAAACAAAGGGAAGATGTGTAGGAATGAGATATCAGCAACTCTGCAAATAATTCTCGAAGTGAAACACAAAGACAAAGGACTGATCTTTGAATAAGAAAAGAGTGAATATGCAGGGTCCCAAATGAATTGGCTTAGTTGAAAAAGGCCTTGTTCTTTAAAAGAATCTCTCATGTCTAATATTGCATGGTTCCATTACATCTGAAGCTCAATTTGGGAAAATGGGATATTGATTCATGACATGAATCATCATTTAACTACTATGGACTGAAGGAAAAAGATATATTAAATATTTTTCTTGAGTTTGTCTATTTGTTATTTGCTTTGTTCTCATATAAGTCCTTGTGCACTGTTTCGTTGTGAAGAAAATGAGTGGAAAGAAGAAATTGAAACCTGTGGGTTATTTAGAATAAGAATTGGGTAGGGTCCAAACCTTTGCCATTTTCCTATTTTCTCAGCAACCAGACCAAGCAATATTAGAAATAACCAGTGTTTTCGCTCAATAGAAGTGCTGACACAAGTTTGTAATAAATTGAACTATCATGAATTTCCATTTAGTATGCTAGAAATGAAATTTCTTTTTCTTTTCCACAGGGCTAAGATGAGATGTACATGTTTAGCCATTCCAAAGTCTGCAAGCTTGATTTCGCCATTAGGATCTACTAATATATTTGCCCCTTTGATATCCCTGCCAAAAAAATACAAATTGCTCTTTGAGGAAGCCGGAAATTGATACAAAAAATTATTCAGCAATATCCCTAGTGTTGTAGACATAGTACCTGTGCACTGTGTTTCTTCCATGTAGGTAGGCAAGACCTGAAAGAATCTGCCTAGTGTAATTTTGGATAACAGGCTCCCTAAAGGGACCATATTCTTGAATTAATTTATGAATGGAACCACCAGAGACAAATTCCAAATAAACTGACAGCGTTTCTTCACCCTGAGAATATGGCATACAAGAGTTATCACTAACTAGGGCCTGGCATTTATAGTTATTTCACATGGGTTGAATGGAATGGGCAGGTTGAGAGAAGGATTATTAATGTATATAAAATGTAAGTACACATGCATGGGCATAAAGAGGTTACAAGCGGGAGTGAACTCATACCAGTTCACTTCCATAGTATTGAACAATGTTTGGATGTGAAAGTTGACTAACCAAAGTGATCTCCTGTTGACAAGAACAATGCGTTAGAGATCCAATCACTTGCAATTAATCATATGGCATTACAACGTTTAAATGCAGAATTCCAAAGTCAACTGTAAAGAAGGAACAAGTAGAAATTGAAGTTAAATGGAAGTCAGCACTGTGTCCAATATAAGAAAGAGATATGAAAAAAGACCTGGTTCAATTGCTTGAGACTTTCTTTAGACGTTTGATCATCTGAAACCAGCCTGACTTCTTTTATTGCACACATCTGCCCACTTTCACTGTTTAAATTGCAAATACAACATTAGAAAAATAACCAGCAGAGAGCTCATTAGAATATTTTTTATTAAAAATAAATAAAAATAAAAATGACCTAATTACGCACCATATAACTACCATTCCACCAAGTACCATGGTTTGTAAAATTACCATTCTCGTTATGGTAAACATAACTATAAGATATTACAATGGCTTCTATTTTCTCTTACAGTTAAAAATTTTTAGACGTTCTTTTTATGATATTATTGTTTCTCTCTAGTCAAACAATTATAAACAAGAGTGCAAAAGCTGGTGAACATTTGAAGCTGTAGAGAGTTTATACTTTCTTGCTGTCAATAAAACCTGAGGTTCCCATCAATGTGACCAGAAATAAAGGACTCAATCGAAACTATTCAAAGTTATAAAACACCATATGAAGTAGTGTCATCTAATTTGACAATATTAATAGATAGATAATACAAACTCCATCTACCTGTTAAATCCAAGGTAAACATGCCCAAATGTCCCCCTTCCGAGAAGCTTTCCCTTCTTCCATTTTGACAAATTAGAATTTGTGTTCTCAGTCACTCCACAAGTTCTTGGATTGGGCAAGGCAGAAGGGCTAGGAGGAGACCCGGGTGGAAGAGGCAGACGATGATATTCACTCTTCCCATCTTCCAGCTTTCCTGTTGGGGAATCCATACTCGTACAACAAAATCGTGGATGCCGAGGTGATGTGGTGGTGGTAGCCCCTCTTGAAGCTGGACCTGGGCTTCTAGGCGACGGGATGAGCTTGATCTCCCCATTTCCTCTGGTGACAAAATATGAAATTTATCATTCTAGACTATAAGTATAAGCAACAGCATTGAGGAAGCATAACTGATGTACCTGTAAGGTCAGGAGTTTTCTACTTTTCCAATCAAGTATGCTATGCTAATCATACACATAAGTTTTGGTGTCATACCAATTAAAATGATCAGTTATAGATTCAAATTGCAAAAGCCTTTAACTGAGTAGCTTACTTCTCAACTGAAAATTCATGGCCTCTAATTTTCCAACAAGTTTGTCCATCAAAATGTAAAGGTTCATTGTGAAGATCAATTTTTCAATTCGCACTCACTGGAAGACATGCTCGTAGCTGTCAAATTTCTACCGCAAATTAAGAAATTATCATTGAGAGAGAAGGCCCATGCCTAGTCTTTTGATTGAATAAATATAAAACCCATATGGATAGCAAAAAAATAAAAAATAAAAAATTTGTCCTGACAGAGAGTAAGATTGCTAGCCAAGATCCTTTTTAGGAGTTAAATGATGAAAACAAATTACGTTTATTTTTTTATCAATCAATGATTCGATCAACAATTTATCAACTACCAAAAAATAAAAAATTCACATATACAAATACAAACAACCAAACCCTAAAGCCTAATCTTGGAGAATTCAACACAAACCCCCCACAAAACAGAATTCAACAAATCCAAAACTAGAGTACTAATAACACCAACCTTGAAACACCCAATTGACCGTTATCGATATGATTATGATCATCAGTGGAAGACCCAGATGAGCTCACACTGGACACCGAAACCGACCCAGATCCCAGCCCAACTCCATGATCGATCCCCAGAGACGGCGTTGACGATATCGACGGCCGAGGCAGAGGATGCCCCCTATCGGAATCGAAACCCGAAAACCCCGAAGATCCACTCCCGCCGCCGCCACCTAAATCTTTGCTGTTTCGCGGCGAATTACGCGAAAACACCGCAGCAGAGACTTCGTCAAAGCTCTTGGGCTTGTCTTTCCCTATCTTCTTATCATTTCCGATCGAAGATTTGATCAGATTCTGATTGTTTCCAGGTGGGTATTGCTGTATCTGTTGTTGAACTTCTTGTTGCTGCTGCTTGTTCTTTGTAGATTTTCTTCCCCACCAAGCAGGCATTTTGATTGCTAATTCAGTGAGACAGAGTCTCAGAGAAAATGAGAGGGGGTTGAGTATGTGTTGAGGAGAGAGAGAAAGGGAGACCCAGGAGAGAAAATTTGGATTTGGGGTTTGCGTTTCGATTTTATATGAAGGTGAAGTATGAGGAAGAAAAAAAAGTTCGAAGAAGAAAACAAGATAGCGAGACTGGGCGACTTTTAGAGAGAGAAAGAGTGTAGAGAGAGATAGTGGGGGCCAAGCTACAGTGAGTAACAGCTAAGCGAGTTGGGAGACGGCAGATGGTAATTGGATTAAACGGATAGTATGACGTGTAAAACTTTTGGATAGAGAGAGAAAGTTAGAGAGAGGTGTGTAGGGGTGTGTGTATCGATCCGTGTCTTTACTTGTGTCTTCACTGTAATGCATGTTGGTGTTAAAAGAGAATCTACATTGGTGAGTGCTCTACAAACCAACCACCTGCAACGCGTTATATAGAGAGAGAAAATTATGTGTGTATATGTACACGTATATGCATATTCGTAGATATTAGGCTATATTTTGTGTGAATGAATAAAATCAAATGAAGATGGAATGGAATGTATTTGTTTTCATTCTCTTATTTGGTGTGTCACATTAAAATTGGAATGGCCATTCTTAGAGAATGCCTATTCCATAAAAAAAATGGAATGCCAGTTTCCATTCTCTTGTTTGGTGTGTCACCTTAAAACTAGAATGACCATTCTTAAGGAATGTCCATTTTATAAAAAATGTGGAATGTCCATTCCACTTTTTGAGAGGTGGAATGACCATTCCATTTCCACTAAAAATTAATAAAATAATAAAATAATTTAAAGAAATAATTCACGCATACACACACTATATAAAATATAATATATATATATATAGAGATAATATGTATCTATATACTGTTTGTTCCCTCTCTCTTGTTTATTTTTCTCTCTATTATCTCTTTCCCTTTTATTTGTGCAAATTAATTTTTTTAGTTAATTTTTTTTACTAATAATAAAATTCATTCCATTCTCATTCAATTCCTACCTCCATTCTCATTCCATTTTAATTCATTTCACCGCACTAAACGTGCCCTTAGAGAGAGAAGTTAGATAAACGAACAGTGGAGTACATATAGACAGAGACCGTGTATATAATAAATATAGAGAGAGAAATTCTAGAAGAAACGTGTGCGTTGGTTGGGTCTCTGTATGGAGTGGTTTTTTCTTTTTATTTTCTTTTCATTTTATATATGTGAGAAATCATGCGCGGTGCAGTCTTTTAGCTTTATTGTGCACCAGCGGTGCGTCACCCACCATGTCATCAACACAGTGGGTCTATCCAATATCCCCTCCGTTGACTCGAGATATTTCTTTTAATAAATACTTTCTATTTTTCTTGGACATTATTTAAAATATAGAGTATTTATTGGAATGGTACACGTGTCAATATATTTTGGGTTGATGAAGAGAATTTATATTTGTAATTAGAAAATTAAAAAGCAAATATAAAAAGAAGAATCTCTATCGCACTTGGTTCTTTGTAGCATAAAAACAAAATTTGAGATATATAATATTTATATCATGATAGTAACCAATATACACACCCTCACCCCTTTACCTTAGAACTCATAACTTCTCTCTATCCGGAGCTAAATATGTGTCGACCGTCTTGTCTTATTGACTTGCTCCGATATTAATTGTAATGATCTTGTCATTCGGCTAGTAGTCTCGACTCATCTTTATAAGTAGAAGATACTCTTATTCAAATTAAATGTGAAACTAGAACCCATAATAATTATGGGTATTGAATTTTGTCGCGGTATTGTAACATAATAGATTGTCGAAGAAAATACTAAGGTATTGAATATTTTCTCATGCAATCAGACTTGTTGAGATTCAAGGAGTGTAAAGATATTTACAAATTTAATATAAAACATATTGTATAGCGAATGTGCTATACATTGTGTGGTATTAAAAAAAAGCGTTCCTACATTTTTTAAATTGAGAAAATAATTAAAAACATTTTCTGTAAATATTATGTTACCGGAGCAGTTGGTTTTCTTTTCCATATTCGAGCCTTCCACCCTTTTCCTCCCTTTAACTACTAACCCCTAACATTCTTGTCCTGAACAAACAAACAAACAAAAAAGACATTTTCTCAATTTGAAAAGTTAAATACCTAAAATGCCTTTTAAAAATAACAATAATAATAAAAAAACACTTATTAAGGCTATATTCGATTATATGGAATAAAATTTTAGAATTGAAATCGGTGGGAATTGAATAAATGTTTAATTCAAAATTACAGAAAAATGAACTAAATTTTCTCCACGTCCAATTCTAAAATTTCTATTACATGTACTTGAACATACATGAAGAGTATTTTGGAATTTTTATAACAAAATTGGTTAAAAATTATGACCAAAAGCAATTTGCTACAAATTTTTAAATACAATAATTTATATGCACATACTAATTTTTTTTGTCTGGCACTCCAAAATCTATCAGAGGCACTAACCTACTAGACTATCGAAGTATCTGCATATGTACAGTGTTTCTTACGCATTTTTTATATAATTTTTTTTTTTTTTTTTTACTTTATATATATATAGTGTTAAAAGTTTACAACTTGATGCATTTCAAAAAAAGAATTGTTTTAGTTTTTACCTCGATTTAATATAAATTTGCGTTTTAGTACATGGTTACATATTTTCTACTGAAATGTTGTTTGACCATTCACCTTACCTAAGAAAAAATTTTGTTTCATCAGATTAAATAGTCTGCCAGAGTCAATACTAAAGGTCATTCCTTCCCTGAGAAGTTTATTTTTCTTACAAGATAAGTAATAATTTAGCATTTATTCGCAATAAATTGATTGATTGCGCGTGTAAGCGAGAGAAAGTTCCATGAGAAATTTCTGTTGTTCTAGATGTCACTATTTTATTCCATATAGAGGTTTTGGGCCCCAAATATAACTCCGGTAGGTACAAAACTACTCAACTGCCAACCTAATAATTTAAGAATCTATATTATTTAAAAATTTTAAAATTAAAACCAATAATTGGATTCATAATTTAATGCATTTGTGCAACTTGCAGATATTTTGTATCGAAGTTATTTTCAACCTAGCTGTTACCACCATTAAGTTGCAGACTATGATTTTCCCCCTACCATATGTTCTTGTTACTTCTGCAATTTATATTTGTTTGTCAATTTATATGTAAAATATAATTCGTTATATCGATCAATACGCAATGTATTAATTAGTTCTTAATTATTTTTAAAGTCTGATACTATTACACATATTATTAAATCGGTCGATTCGATCAATTTATACCAATATTCATTCGAGTTAGTTATACCTCGACTGTGACCGATATCGCAACTGCGTATCATGGTACAAACTACAAGCACAATTACTTTCTCTCAATACATATCATATACACCAAAAAAAAAAAAAAAAATACATGTCATATACTTCGATAGGAGGGTGATTATAAATTATATTTAGAACTTTGAATAAAGTAACTTTATTTAATTTCTCTTCTTCTTTTTTTTTTTTATAAAATAAAATATTTATCTTTATAATATCGTTTTTATTTTTATTCTTAAAATAAACTTACACCACTTAAGATGACTTGAACTCAAAACTCTTAAATTTTTATTTTGAGAAGTGAAAAAATACTACTAAAATACGTCACCACAAGTTAGCCTTATTAGTATAATATAGGGAATATTTCTAATTGTATTTCACACGTGATTTCTAATTTATTTAAGAAAATGACAATACAAAGCAACTATTTAGATTATCCAATAGATTTACCTCAATGGATTGATTACACGCACTTATGAGTAAAATTATATGACTAAATTATATATAACAAATAACAGCAAAATGTCAACTATTGTATATCTAAAAATCATAGATTTAATTTGCGGGGAAAAAAGATCAAATATTTTTTAAATTAGGCATTATATATTTGAAGTCATATGTAACTTTTTAATTTTTTATTTAGAAGTAAGATGGTCAAGTCATGCACGGCCATTGCTCTGTCCCAAGTAAGGAAACTTGAATGATAGCATGCCTTTTCTCCACCTGGAGAAGCATTGGACACTTGGCAAGTTGCATTCATCCAACGTCACTAAAAATTAAAGGCGTAAGGATGAAGGAATGGATAAACTTGCAACAAACGTGGATATGATAAAAACACAGAAAACGACATGTATACACAGTGTACACACACAAAGAAGGAAAGAGATTTATGGGAAATGCATATCATGCTTTGTATTTTCACACACACACACATTATATATATATTTATGGGAAATGCATATCGTGCTATGTATTTTCACACACACATATTATATATATATATATATACATTCATGTTATATTTGGCAATTGAAAGTACCAAATCAGTATCTTATATATAGATTTAAAATTAAAATAAATTTAGTTCTAAATTTGTACTAAATTTATTAAGTGCCATCAAACATAACATCAATATGTTTGTATAACATATTTTTCAAGAGTTATGAAATAATATACTTAGTATTTAACTGAGTTTTTTATTTATATGTTTTTGAGATTCCAAACGTGGAAAAAAAAATATACAAACACAGAACACCAATTACTCAAATTGAATCCCAATTGCAATTACTCAAACCCCAAACTTGAATCCCAATCCTAATCACTCAAAGAACCCATCAAATCCCAAAAACAGAACACCAGTTGCAATCCCAATCACTCGAATCAGAGCATTCACATTGTCGATTGATTTCTCTATTATGGAACATTTAGTGCACAGACTCTTGCATGTTTAAAATGCAAGAGATATTGATGGTGTGTACATGCGGATCTGCGTACTTGAAGGTGGAAACATTGTATCTTTGGTCGGCGGGAGTGGTGGTGACGGTGAGCTAGTAGATGAATATATTATAGAGAGAGAAAGTGAGTAAAGAGAGTAGGGATACGGGTATTTTGGAAATTTTATTAAATTTTGTACCTTAGTACAATTCGTTCTTAATTAACATTGACTCTAACAGAAGAAATGTCATATTTTTATTTTAAAAAGGATCTGAGTAAATTCTAAAATCATCGAAAAAATCCTATAATTATGATAAATGATAGAAGAGATCAGTGCAATATGCCTTTTAAAATTATAGATGAGACACTAGTGGTGGCGTC